ATTCCTTGTAAGATGACAGAAAAATGATATGTGCTTCTAAAACAGCATCATTGGGATTATATAACGAAAAAGTGTAAAATAGTTTGAATTGTATTAAATTATATTATATTAATCATTGCATGGTTGGAGATTAAATCTTCTAATATTGGGGTCTTTCCTCTATCTAATGGGTTTTCTTTATATAATTCAATGTAATCTAAATTATAAAATAAGGTTGTTGTTATAGGACTACTAAAACTTTAAAAGTGAAAATTGCTCAATTAACATTATTTCGAATTGTTGATTTCTTTATTATTACTCCCTCTAATTTTTTTTAATTGTCATGTTCCCTCAACTTTATATAAATTAATTTCCTAATTTTATATAATAAATAAATGGTAATTAAAAAATGTTTTGATTAAAGTAAAAATACTCAATCAAAACTATACAAAGAAATTAAGAAAAAATTTTCAATTGTCATCTATTTATTATACAAAATTATTTGATCAAATTTTATATAAAAAATCAAACCATGACAACCAAATCAGATTGAAAAAAGTATTATTTTTTGGGTTTGTTGTTTTATTGTCTAAATTATTTAATTACAAAACACTAATTATTAAATGAAGTTCTACACATGACAAAAGAACTTGATGTTGATAAGCTCCAAGTCTCCAACAACATTAGTTATTCTTTATTCCATCCTTAAAAGTTGTATAAACATTAGGTGAAAAATGAAATAGGAGAATAGAAAATCAGAAACAAGGTAAAAGATCAAATTAATTTGTTAATATACATATTCTAAATGAAGTAATCAATCAACAAAGTGTATTAGAATAGCAAATTCTCTATGCTTACCTGGAAGGCAGATATGATATCATACGTATGGCCTTGAAAATGACCAGGCTGAAAAAAGAACATTATCCAAAAAGGTAAATTGACCGCATCTTTAAAATTCACAATCTATACCACTATAGGTTTACAGAAGAGTCAAATAGAACACTTAACTGCAACTGAGTATAATAAAAATGGTGATGTGTTAAAAAGGAATAATAAAAAAAGAGGAAAAAAAATGAAGCAGCAGATAAACACCTACAAGATGTACCAGGCGAAGTATATCCAGTGAAAAAGGATCAGCCTTGCTCTCACTGATACTCTGTACCAAGTCATTTCATCTAATGTTTTCTCCATTTATAGGTCCAAAAACTTGAAGATACAAGAAATTGACAACAAAAGTCATATGCGTAAAAGTAATATGTTTGCATACAACTCAGAAAAGATCCAACATTTTTAAGAGAATGATTACTTTCTGCTTTCGTAGATTCATCATATAGAGCAAAACCTTATTGATTGGGACGCAGAATGTCACAAAGTGTCTAATATTAGAATTTCAAAACAAGTCACCTTTTCCCAATAAATTTTTCTATGATTTTTCTATAACTTTGAATCTAAATAAGGTAGACAGAGCAAGGTGACAAACCTTGATTGTTCCCCCGTAAATCATAATACTCGGTCGGTTGAGCCTTCCCATTGCCATAATTGTACCCGGCATCTAGCAAATAACTTGCATTAGATTTAGGCATACCAGAAACTCAACAACATCCCATAAACTCTATCAAAACAGAGAAGGGAGAAAAAC